ACGGAGGGGAAGATGGGGCAGGAGGAGGCAAGATTTTCACAGAGGTAGAGTGATAACAGGATTCACATCAGGACTAAACACCTAGCCAGAATGGGCATCTCAGCTTAGCCTCTTTCTTCACTTAGCACAATACTGGCACAGAGTATGGGCTCCATTAGCATCAGTGACTTTCACAGCATGAGGAGGAGGGGCTGGAGAGGAGAGGTAGATAAAGAGAAAAGACAAAGGAGAGGAAGAGAAAGGGTCTTGAGTGCTGAGCTATGTCTTCCCTCTTCTTTCTCTTCTTCCATTACACATAGTGACACGGCCTTAGCACAGCATCCCTGCCCACCTCCAACCATCACAACAAAACCAACCAGGTTCTAAGCCATTGATGAAAGGAAAGCAATAATCAGTAATAGTTGCATCTTCTCTGGGTTGTCAGAATTTCTTAAATAATCTGGTTCTCACTGAAATAATGGTTCAAGTAGAAAAACAGGTGGAGAGGTAGAAATAAAGTGGTGCTGAGGTGCTAATAGGTGAAGAGAGGCCATAAGGAGACACTTTCTCCTTATGTAGAAAGTGAAGAAGGCTAAACTGAAGAAGACTAAGCCAAAATGAAGGAGGAAGACCAGAGAAAATGTTGAAGACCTAAATAAGGCATTGACTCTAGAAATGGAAAAGAGAAGGTGGGTGCCAAGGATGTGTAAGAGACATAATCTATAATATGTGGTGATTGACTAGTGGAATAATCAGGAAGAAACAGCCTGGCTGACTTGTGGATATGCAGCATAAGGAACTAGGTGGCTATATCCATTACAGGATAAGGAAGCCAGGAGGGTGAGCAGATTTGGGAGTAAGATTGGAAAAAGAGAGAACTGGGGCTGGAGCTCAGCAGAAAGCATCACAGAAAAAAAAAATCTTGGTATAGGGAAAGCTTTCAAATTATGAAAGTTCTCAAACAATAGAATGAATTGCAGTGGAAAAAGATTAACATCTGCTTATTCCTTTGGGTGAAAGGGAATCTGGGTGACTTCAAGTGAATCTTCTCCATTCCAAAAAGGATGTCTTCCAGGATAAGGGCAAAGACCAAATTCTCTTTACAAACTGACCTATTCAGATCTCATGCTCTACCCAAAATATGAAGACACTTGTTCTAGCCACTTGTTCTAGACTTGGAGCACATGAGACCTGAGAAGGGTAAGCATAAGAGAAATGACCCAAAGATTTGGGAATTGAGTATGTGGTTGGATGTTGACTATTCTGGTGAGGTTTTCTAGGTGAGTAAATCAAATTCCATGTTCTTATTATCTTGTTTTGTGACTGTGTATACAAACACACACACACACACATTCATTCATTCTCTATTGGTGTTTCTTTCCTGAATTTTGGGAAATTTCAACATTTAACCTCAGTTAAACAAAATATAATATTTTTTAAATGCGGCCACTTAATGATTTATTTATTTGGTCTGATTTCCAAAGCCTAAGGTCTTAGCCACTAAGCTAGATCCTCAATAAGGTTTTAGAATGAGTAAAGAAATTAATTAACCCATTGGACAGGATAGATGGCATATTATCCACATTTAGGAAAAAAAAACTGAGGCTGGAGAAATTAAGTAATTTACCCAATATAAAGCAGCTTACTCTGCTGCTGTCCTGTGCACTGTACCTTAATGTGAATTAGGATGGAACACTTCTTGGCTGATTGCAGCACAAGATTTGGCAAACAGAATTCTTACTGGATTTCAGCCCATACATTCGCTCTTGGCTGGGTGCCTTTGTGCAGGGCACAACCTCTCAACAGTACTTAAGTTTGTAAAGGCAAGACTGTCTCAGGCCTCTGATTTTCCATACTCTTCTCTTCCTGTAAAGATCATACTGCTTTTACAGTAAAGCACATTTCTCCATCCCCCATCAAATAATAGCAAAAATTTAGTAGGATGTCTAAGCTATTTGTGAAAGCAAAGTAATAGTCATATCTTTCCTCTGTTGCTACTGTTTTGGAAATAGCGCTTGGATGAGTATTGGTACAAATTTATGAATGGATTAAGGAGTAGGGATTGTGGTTGAGAAAGGAGTCAAAAGGCTACAGATGAAAAAGGGAAATTCTGGGTAAGAAAAAGATGGTAGTTATTAAGACTTGTATCCTCTGAGCTCAACTCTATTGAATGCTCCCAACTTTCTCGTTAGAAAAATTTTATATTAACCTTTTCATTCATCCTTGCCCTGATTTATCAAGCATCCATTGATCACATGCCATATTCCAGGCAGAGTGAAACAGTAGGTATCAATAGTACATGGCCTTAGTCTTCAAAAACTCTAAAATAAAAAAATTTAAAAAAAACTCTAAAATACTTAGGAATACATTTACCCCAAAAGGTGAAATATCCACACACTGGAAACTACAAGACATTAATGAAATAAATTGAAGAAGATACAAATAAATGGAAGGATATTATGTCCTCATGGGTTGGAAAAATTAATATTGTTAAAATGTCTCTACTACCCAGTGCAATCTACAGGTTCAATGCAATCTCTATCAGAATTACAATGATATTTTTTATAGAAATAGAATCCTAAATTTTCTATGGAACCAGAAAAGACCCCAAATAGCCAAAGCAATCTTGAGAAATAACAAAGCTCGAGGAAGAGTGGAGAGAGAGAGAGAGAGAACTGGGCCTGGAGCTCAGCTCCCTGATTTCAATACATATTACTAAGCTATAGTAATAAAAACTGTATGGTATTGGCAAAAAAAAAAAAAACAGACACATTGTAATGAAACAGAATAGAGAACCTGGCAATAAACTCAGACGTATATGGACAATTAATTATGACAAAGAATCCAAGAATTTGGGGAAAGGATAGTCTCTTCAATAAAATGGTGTTGGGATAAACTGGACAGTCACATGCAAATGAATGAAACTGAACCACCATCTTGCACCATACACAAAAATTAAAAATGGATTAAAGATGAACATAAAACCTGAATCATCGGGGAAATACAAATTAAAACCACAATGAAAGATCACCTCACTCCTGTTAGAATGGTTATTGTCAAAAGACAAGAAATAACAAGTGTTGGTGAAAATGTGAAGAAAAGGGAACACTTGTACTTTATTGGTAGGAATGTAATTTGTGCAGCCACTCTGGAAAATAGTATAAAGGCTCCTCAAAAAATTAAAAATAGGACTATTGCATGATCTAGCAATTCCACTGTGAGTATTTATCTGAAGAAAATGAAAACACTAATTCAAAAAGATATCTGCTCCCCTAAGCTCATAACAGTATTACATACAATTGCCAAGACATAGGAACAACTTAAGTCTCCAGTGACAGATGAATGAATAAAGAAAATGTGATATACTACTCAGCCATTAAAAAAAGAATGAAATCTTTCCATTTACAACAACATGGATGGACCTTGAAGACATTATACTAAATGAAATACATCAGACAGAGAAAGACAAATACCTTATGATCTCATTTATATGTGGAATCTAAAAAAGAAAACAAATAATCAAACTCATAGATACAAAAAAAAAAAAAAAACAGATTGGCAGTTACCAGAGACAGGAAGTATGGGGTTGGAGAAAAGGGTGAAAGGGTTCAAAAGTACAAACTTCCAGTTACAATAAATAAATCATGGGGATGTAATATATAGCATGGTGACTATAGTCAACAACACCATATTTTACATTTGAAAATTTCTGAGAGATTAAATCTTAAAAGCTATCATCACAAGAAAAAAATTTTGGTAACTAAGGTGACAGATGTTAACTAGACTTATTATGGTGATCATTTTGCAATGCATACAAATATCAAATCATTCTATTGTACACCTATAACTAATTTTATATGTCAAGTATACTTCAATGAAAAAAAAGAAAAACACAAATACCGTGAGAGAAGGAATAAGTACACAGTTTCGTTACAATGTAATTTCAAAAGTTATATGAGCTGTGGGAGCCCAGAGATCATAAATAACTTTCCTAGGGAGAGGAGAGGCAATATTTGATCTGAATATGGAAGGGTGAGGCATTTTTATAGAGAGAAAATGAAGGAAGGCAGTCAAGGCAAAGAAACAGATGTACAAAGCTTCAGAACAACAGAGACATGGAGTATTTATTGAATGGGGAGAGGTCTGGTGGACAAGATGGTTCATGAAGGGTAATGGTGACTGGTAAGTCTGGAGAGGTAGGTTGGAGCCAGAGGCAGTGATTCAGGGGATTAAAATCTAATGTGGAGAGACGACGTCACTATCTGCCCAGCAGGTACATACTGATTTTAGCATCATTCCTAAACAATCTGGCATCATTTATCTCTTGAGAGGCCTTTCAGAAAAAGAATTCTACATGTTAAGGCTAGAATAAACTATTACAGCTTCATGGCTTTAAAGTCACAAAGCTTCTAGTTCAAATCCTGGCTCTATTATTTACCTATTTACTGTGGCATTTTGGAGATGTTTCTCTCCTCTGAGAGATTTGGTATCTTTATGTTTACGACAGAAGCAAGGGAACCTCGCAGAACTGAGGTGTTGACTATGAATTGTCCCATAGAGTGCCTTGCACATAGGATACATGCAACAGATGTTGGCACTATCCCCCTCCCCATCCTTTTACCCTCTCTCCTTCCTTTAGCAGGATTATATTTGCTCAAGAGTGTTAATAACATAGCCTATTTTTACAGGTCTTTCAAATAGAGAACTTCATGACTTACACAATATCCAGCTTCTATTAGGAAATTCTTTTAAATACCCTAAGACTGCCTAAACTCCTTTGTTGTACTACTCAACAGAACAATGAAAAGAGTCTACATAGCAGGACAATGCCTACTATTCTGGAAAGATCTGTAGGTCTTCAGGTTCTGTTATCACAGTATTGCCTGAAAATCTTGCTGGGAATCAGAAAAAAAACAATGAGCTCAGAAAAACATTATTGTTGGCTCATTGTTCTAGGACTCTGCATGACTGCTTAAAGTAAAGTAAAATTTCAATGGCTTACCTTTCTCCTACACACTTACCTTGATCCATTAGAATGTTTCCATCCTAATCTGCTCCTGTAAAACAAGTAGAATGATTTTTCACTGGATAATCCCAAAATACTTTAATCACCTTAATCACTGAATGGCTCTCTTCCTGGTTGGGGGAATTAAGTTTTAGACTTGTAGAATGTGACAGTTAAAAAATACCTTTGAGATCATATAGTGTAGCATTTCCCAAGGGAGTCAGAGGAAGTGTACAGAAGCGGAATGGACAGTAGAGCCTGGACTGGTTCTAGAAAATACAAAGCCCTTTTTACATCATTGAATCTAGAGACCCTATGTGTCCCCAAAGCCACAATAGCAGAAAGTCTAGCATCTACCTCTTGGAGGATCCTCCTTCCCCAAAAACTGTTTAAATCCCTGGGATGTAAGAGAACATCTCTTACTTCCAAATATAAGCAGGATATAGGAACCACCACTGCTTCTCATAGCCTCTATAGGGTGCTGTTTGACACGATGGGAAAAAACACAGTTGGTCACCTCTATTATATGCCTGGCTGTCACAAGCCCTTGTAGAGATTGTCCAAACATTTTTTTTTTTTTAGAAAATGTGATGAGACCCCTTCAGTGCCAAACTGTGCCAAGAGCGTGCTACTTTAGACAGCCCAGACCTCAGGACTGTGCTCCCACGCTCTCTTGTTCATTTGTCCTACACTGCCATTATCAACTTTACCTGTCCTTTTATGAAATAATTTAGTCCAAAGGACTCATTCCTCTTGGCTTTGGCCAAGAACCAAGAGGGAGATTTGATGGGAAATGGGATTTTCATGATTAGCCGTGCTTACTGCATGCCTCAGGTAGTGTGAGCAATGTCCACCAAACCTGATGTTGGGCTTTAAAGAGTCATCATGGCTCATTAATTCAAGCCAACTGCTTCTTCTGATGCTTAATAAGATAAAGAGTGATCTCTTTCAATGTTCAGGAATGTCCTGGCAGTGTTGGGCTTGCCTCATGAAGCAGTGCATTAAGTAGGTGGATCTCCAGCATGAGGCTTTCATAGAGGATTTCCAAGGGTAGTTTTGATTATTTAACTTGAAATACCCTCCTGGAGTTAGAAGAAATCCTCTGTTACAGAGTCTACTGATTCCCAAGATGGGCACAGGATGAGGTCCGGGAGGGGATTATTCTGTAGGTAAGTGTGTGCCTCCTAAGCCTCTAGCAATTCTCTCTAATTTACAGGATGTCTTCAGAGCCATGAACTTGGACTTTGACATTGTGAAATTGTACCTTAAGTCACTGTTCATTGGAGAGCTTGCCCCCCAAAAGAGCCTAGCCAGGAGAGAAACAAAAAAGTGAGTGAAGTCTCAGGACTTCACAGGAGCATGTGGAGGGACGGGGACAAGAGCCAGTTGACTCTTTCCAGATATATCCAAGAACTGATCATTTTCAGTGAGACCCAGCCTGTCATGCCTGGGTGAGCCTGCAATAGCATGAATGAATAGATTCTGCATATTTCAAAGCAATGTCATCCTCCTTAGACGTCTATGTAAGAAAGGAATGAAATTTTCGGTCCTGCACCAAATTAATTCCACGTCTCTAAGTACCTACTTCATGTCAGGCAATGGACACATAAAATTTTTTTCCAGTGGCTGCTTTAACTGTTAGATGTCTGGATCTATGTTCTTTGCAAAAGTAAGTTCCATAAGAGCAGTGAATATCTGTATTTTTCTTATCCTTGGGCCCTCAAGAACCCACCTGCATAGAATCAGACATGTAGTAGGGACTCCATAAATAGCTACTGAATGAAAGATGTGAATATATCCTAACAACAACCCTTCTTAAACTTGGTGAAATAATAGTCTAGGAGGAATAAATTACTTTCTGGAAGTTCCACAGTTGATGTGTCAAAGAACTGGGACTCCAAGTTACTTCTTTCTGGCCCCAACCCCTTAGGTAATCCCAAGGAAGGGTGTCACTCTTTCTTTCTCTAATATTTTGGCTTCCTGCAATACTGTCTTTTAAAGGACAGGGTCTCTGTAAGATTAAACATTCAGTGGGATGATTTTACCTAAAGCTTAGAGGGATTTTAACTATATAATTGAGCTTTTTTTTTTTTGCAACTTTTTTGTTAAAACTGCTCAGATTCTGTGTAATTCAGAAATAATTTGTACCAAGTACTGGTCTACATATCACTATGAGGAGGATATAATAAGGATAATGTTTCTGCTTTAAGAAATGAGGAAATAGGGATGCCTGGGTGGCTCAGTGGTTGAGCGTCCGCCTTCAGCTCAGGGTGTGATCCCAGGGTTCTGGGATCGAGTCCTGCATCAGGCTCCCTGCAAGGAGCCTGCTTCTAACATCTACCTATGTCTCTGCCTCTCTCTGTGTCTCTCATGAATAAATAAATAAAATCTTTTTTAAAAAAGAAATGAGGAAACAAACTCACCAAGGAATAGGCAGAAACTGAGAACACAGAACTGATTTGGTGCAGACCTCAGATGAACACTTTATACTCACCCTTCAGGTTCACTTGCATCCTGCACAGCTGTGTGTCAGGACACACAGCCCTGTATTTGGCAGCAAGGGCTCTGAGGCTGCATGCTTGGACTCACAGCCCAGCCCTGCCACAGGTTACCAAAACTCTCCATGACTTGGTTTCTGTCTCTTTGTAAAATAGCAACAACCGTAGCACCAACCTCCTATGAGATATTGGGGGATTAGGGAAAGAGTTAAAGGCACTTCAAGTCCTTAGCACTGTGTCTGGAACATAGTAAATGCTCAATAAATTTTAGATACTATTGTTATGAACTCAATGGTAGCACCAGCAATTGAAAAACATCCAGATATGTCGCCACTATTTAGAAAAAGAGGCTCTAGATTTAAAAAAGGAAGGTGACACAAAGCTTGTTTTTCCTAAAATTTTCTCAAAGAAAAAGAAAATCCCACTAATGGTTGAGAGCTGTAAGACAATCATTCATTATCTAAAGGAGTATTGGTCTCTGGGGGTAAAAGTCTGCTGTAAATTTTCTTTAGTACATCTATATGGATACACAAATATACATATTCATATGTGTGTGTGTAAAACACACATATACTCAGATATGCGCATATAGGCAATTTCAAAATGAAAATGTTTGTTTCCTGTATTTTGTTCACACTGCAAATGTCTCTCCTTTCATGTATCTGAACAATCCTGCTCTCTTTCTTATACTCAGGTCACTGTGTCCCCTGTCCTTGTTTCAAACCCATTAATCATTAAGCTAAAAGACAGCTCTTCCCAGCACTTGCACTGACTCTACAGTCTGCTCGGCAAGCTGGTAAACCAACGTAACCTTGTACTTACACACACACGTACACATGTTACACAGACACAGACCAGGACCCACACACAGCAGCAGACACACACTAATGCCACCAGAGATCCTGCCTTGCTTCTGGGGCTCCATCAAGCAGCTCACAGGAAAGTCATCCTTTAAGTTAATCTAAGTGAACTGTATTTTCCTATGTTCATCCTCTTTAATGAACGAGCCCTTCGCACATACTAAACTGCTGATTATGTAGAAAATTCTGTGTAAACTGTACCCCTAAGGATAATAACACAGATCCATCTAGACAACGTGGCTCCCCAAAGCATAATCCAAAGATCAAACAACACCTAAAACAATATTGATGGTTTAAAAGGCAACTGTTAGAAATGCCTGGGTGATTCAATCAGTTAAGCATCTGAGTTTATCTCAGGTCACAATCCCTGAGTTCTGGAATGGAGTCATGCATTGGGTTATTGGGTTCCCTGCTCCACAGGGATCCTGCTTTCTCTCTCTCTCTCTCTCTCTCTCTCTCTCTCTCTCTCTCTCTGCCCCTCCTTCCACTTGTGCTCACTTTCTCTCCCTCTCTCTCTTCTGTCTCAAGTAAATAATTTTTTTAAAAAATAAAGGACTAAATAAATAAAAGGCAACTGTTAGACACAAAAACCACGCCCCTCAAAAAAAAATAACCCATTCTGAGTTCCAAAACAGTTTGAGGACAGTTTATAAATCACTACTCATCTTTCTCTTCTCCAGAAAAAAAAATATATTATCATAACCTTTTTAAAAGTTTTTGTTTGTTCATGGTTTTATGTTTTTAATTTTTCCCAATTAAACATATTAATATCAATAAATTTTTATTCATTAAATTAAGGTATGAATAAAAGAGATTATTCATTGTGTTCATTTGTGTTCCCTGAGGGAATTAGTTCCTTCTCTGAATATTCATTTCTCAGTCCCAGTTGGTGGAAGATTTCCAAGAACTGCGAAGAACATTAGAGTCCATGAACATGTTCAAGGCCAACCTGGTGTTCTTCCTTCACTTGGCCCAGATCTAGATTTTGGAGACCCTAGCTTGACTAATGATGTGGCATTTTGGCAACGGCTGGCTTGGGACAATATTCACTTCCTTCTTTCTCACAATTTCCCAGGTTAAGTAGGTAGCCTAAGCGCAGGCAAGTGGCCTACAGTGAAGGCTCAGACTGTTTCCTTCTCTGTTTAGATTGGCACCATCTGCTGCCTGACACTTTCCAGCAAGCTACCCATCCATGTCTGACACTAGCAAGTTACCACACTGCCAGACCACAGTTTATTTGTCTTTAAAATGGGGATAATAATTGCTTATGGAAATATTTTGGACTAAAAAATTAATGTTTAAAACACCTAGTGCAGTGACTGGTACATAGGAAATATTCAATGTATGACAGTCTACTCTTCACCCAATTTCTACATACCAGCTCAGTAACTGAAGTCCTTTGTCGGCCGTGTAACACTCTCTTCTCTTCTGTATTCATCTTCCAACCAACAAAAAGAGAGAGAGAAGCAAATCAAGAAAGAGACTCTTAACTGCAGAGAACACACTGATGGTTATCACAGGGGAGGGGGCTGGAGATGGGTGAAATAGGTCATGGGGATTAAGAAGGGCACTTGTGGGGCACTTGTGGGGGGATCACTGGGTGGTGCAGCGGTTTAGCGCCTGCCTTTGGCCCAGGGCGCGATCCTGGAAACCCGGGATTGAATCCCACATC